GGGTATTTACATACATCAATTTATGAAATATTAATGGGTAGATATGTGGGGTGGTATTTTGGCAATATTTACAAAAATGTGCAATTTTCATACCCTCTCCACTTTACCCCAATTTCGGTTTGTTATGTCTTTCCTATGCACATTTGCCCAAGAACTAATGTCTAAAGATGTTGATTCAGTTCTGTTAAGCATAGAAACTAATGGGAACTACTTATGCGTCCATCAGGAGGAAAATAGTTAAATTAATTATGGAACATACATACTTCAGAATCCTAGGGAGTAGTTAAAATAATGAGGTGGATTTATATGTGTTGTCATGGAATGATGCTGCTTTCGTTTTATTAAGTGACAAAGGCAAATGGGAGAACAGTATGTATGTCGCTACCCAGTCTGTTAAAAAAAAATCACAGTATATTTTTATAGCGCATCTATGTATTAAAAAGCTTAAAATTACCTTTAAAATAATAGGCACCATATATTTTTTATTGTAGTTACCTCTGAGGAGAAAGTGGAGTTTTAGAGGAACGTGGTAAAGGGAAGGGATAGATTTATGTATGTTGTTAGAAATACTTGCAACGAGAGAATATATGCGCTATTATTAGCTTTGTCATTAAAAATTTTAAATAAGCTTAACAACATAAATGGTACCTGTTTATTAGCTAGATAAAATAACTGCTAGCTGATGCAAAACATAAAACATAAAATCTGAATGACTTAAAGGTTTATTTCTTGTGCACATAAAATTTGATGTGCATCTTTGCTCACTGGTGACTCAGACGTAGGCTGCTTCCATCTTGTAGTTCCGTGTCTCGACACGAGCTCTCCATCTTTCTACTGAATGCAAGAAAGAAAGTGGAGGTAGCATCCTGGATCTCAAATGAGTTGGCCCAGAAATGACAAATACTTCTTCTGGCAAGAGTAGTCACATGATCCTTTTTTTTTTTTTTTTAAGATTTTATTTATTTGTCAGAGAGAGAGCCAAGAGCACAAGAAGGGGGAGCGGCAGGCAGAGGGAGAAGCAGGCTCCCCGCAGAGCAGGGAGCCCGATGCGGGGCTCAATCCCAGGACCCCGGGATCATGACCTGAGCCGAAGGCAGCCGCTTAATTGAGCTAATCAGGCGTCCCTGCCTGACCCTTCTTAATTGCAAGTGGACTGGGAATGTAGCTTTCCTGTGAACCCAGGGAAAAGCCAAGAAAGGATGTGCATGAGCACTTGCAGTCCCTTCCTTGGTTATAAAGAGCAACTATTATGGTTTGTTGGGACAATAACCCTCTTTGTTTCCTGGAGTAGTTTCTGTGAAGCCTGTTCTTCGCCTTGCAGCTGGCCACCTTTTTTGAGCATGCTTTCAAGTACAGGATCACATCTGATTTTTTTTTTTTAAAGATTTTATTTATTTATTTAATTGACAGAGAGAGAGACAGCGAGAGAGGGAACACAAGCAGGGGGAGGGTCAGAGGGAGAAGCAGGCTTCCCGCGGAGCAGGGAGCCCGATGCAGGGCTCGATCCCAGGACCCTGAGATCATGACCTGAGCTGAAGGCAGTCGCTTAACCAACTGAGCCACCCAGGCGCCCCTCACATCTGATTTTTAAAAGAACCCTGTAAATCCCTACCGGAAAGGTTCACCCATTTTCAGTCAGTAACACAAACTTGCAAAAACCTCTGTAATTTCAGTAGGTGAGGAATTACCTCGTTCTTTTTGCTGCATGGTCAGTATCTTAACTTGAGAGCGTCTGCTGGATCCCACCGGACTGAATGTGCCTGAACATCTGTACAGTGCTCCTAGGCACCGTGAAAACAAAGACTTTGTTCTGCGGAAAGTACACAAGCTAGAGATAACATAAGGATGGCGAACTATTTTTTTTTTCTTTTTTAATCAGTATAGCACATTAGGCCAAGGAACCAATTCTTGGAATCTCCATTCTTCCTGCTTCCAGGACTTCCAGGGTTATAGGAATTCAGACTTGGGATTTATAGATGTTTGCTTGCACAGGGATTTCCATGGTCTTGCCCCCCTCTATCTCTTAAGAGTGAGGCTTTGGTTTCTGACCACCTAGGTATGCTTACTCATTGGTATCTTTTCAGTGGCTAGTCCCAAATAGGCCATCCCATTAAAATCCTACTACAAATATCAAGGTGGTTTCAAAATCTTCTCTTAGTTCACGTTTACATCCCAAGAACCAGTATGTTCTGTGCCTACTTAGACTCCACTCACAAGCCCACTTGTAAAACACTTGGAGAGTATGGTGAAGAAGCCCATCAGGGAAGGACCATGTACCTAAACTTGACTCTTTAAAGAGAAACAGTTGGCAGCAACTGGGTGGCTCAGTCAGTTACGCATCTGACTCTTGGTTTTAGCTCAGGTCATCATCGCAGGTCGTGAGATCGAGCCCTGCATCGGGGCTCCGTGCTCAGCACACAGTCTGATTGAGATTCTTTCCCACCCCCTCCTCTGCTCTTCCCACGCCACCCCCCCCCACACTCTTTCTGTGTCTCTCTAATAAACAAATAAATAAATAAAATCTTTTAAGAGAAGAGGTTGTAGCAGAGGGATCCCATGGTGAAAGTCAGCCAGGAGATGCCTGCAGAAAATGGAATCCTCTGAGTCAGGGGGAGCGCAGGTGGTCCTGGACTGTCTGTTCCACTGGAAGCAGGGGACAGTGTCCAGAGGAAGATGCGGTGAAGGGCTGGACAGCAGGTCAGCTTCCAGAGTGGACAGGAGGGCGATGGGGGAAGACTCAGGGGAAGGGCATTGTAATGTGGGAAAGTGTTGGGACTGCACACCTGTGTCAGTTACTGAGCAGAGGCAGCTCTCGAGGCGCCCTGGGGTGAGGCAGCAGCACTCTGGGTAAATGGACCCCACAGACAATGCCCAAATTGTGTGTGATTCGCATTTTCACATTCCTTCACTATATCTATTCATTTTTCCTACTTTGGCTACAAGGTCCTTCGTCTTACCTCCTGAGAAGCATTATGGAGTAAGAAGAGAAATGAGTTAACAGAAGGTTGTCCCCAGGGGGGCACCTGGGTGGCTCAGTTGGTTGAGCATCTGCCTTAGGCCCAGGTCATGATCCAGGGTCCTGGAATCGAGCCCCGGGTCGGGCTCCCTGTGCAGCGGCAAGTCTGCTTCTCCCTCTCCCTTTACCTGCCCCTCCCCTTGCTTGTGCACTGGCACACTCACGCTCTCTCTCTCTGTGAAATAAAATCTTAAAAAAAAAAAAAAAAGGTTGTCCCCAGGTTGGAAGGAGTAGGAAGCATAGCATGGGCTCTGGAAGAATTCAAACAGGAGGTCTAGTCCCAACTCTGTCACATACTAGGCTTGTGATTTGTGAACATTCATAAACTTTCTAAGCCTCACGTTCTTCGTCTTGAAATGGGCTTGATCAGCCTTGTCTTGTATGCATGACCATTAGAATGTATGTGTTGTATGTCAAGCCCCTGGCACGGTGCATGGTGTGTGTGGGGTCTTTGATGATCGGCAATTACTACTATGATGATTTTGACCCCAGACATTAGTGCCTTCCTCTCTGGGATTTGTTAACCCAGGAGACAGCAGAGAATACTCAGTATTCTAGGACACGGCACACCAAACCAGCCCAAATGGCTGCTTAACAAGAAAACCTTAGTAAATCTTCCCCAGTAGAGGATATAATTTAACGTGGGTTTGGGGGAGTAGTTCTCAACTGAACACAACTCCACACTCCTAGAATTTGTGTCAAGGACCAACTCGTTCCTTCCCTCCCAGCTGCCCCTCCAATAATCCATCTCTCTTTTCATTCACTTACCTCCTCGAAAAATCTAGGCCTTGCTTAGAGTTTGCCAAAGTGTATTGAACATAACCCATTTAATGAATGGTATAGGCTCTGGATCTCTGAGCCCAGGGTAGAGTGCCAGCCCAGTGGCTTTGGGGTATCTCACCTCAAGGAAATGTCACCCTTATTTCTCACAAACTCCTTGAAGATGATGTTCATGAAACACCCAATTTGTGCATTGTGTTCAACTGCACTTGAGCAAGAATGCAGGTTGGCTTCCATTCTTGTCCCAGGTGGGATCTGGTCAACCCATAATCCCAAAGTAGCCGCTAAGAACAGTTTTCATTCTCAACCCTGAGACACACCATTTGAGGGTCTGACCCCTGTTCACCACTCCCATAGCCTTAGCTAGTGTACTACAGCTTAATTTAAACTTACCTCCCACTGAAGGGCTTGTAATTTCCCAAGTCCACAGCCTGTCTCAGGATATTTATACTTGACTGCCTTCATATGGACCCCCCCCCCCCGCCAACCTCTTCATTCCTTTTTACTTTTTCTTTTGGTATTGAAGGATACTCAACCATTATTTTCTTTACATGATTCTTGCTCCTAGAATCTAAAATCTATGGGCAGGTGGTGAGTCTTGGCTACCCTAGCATCCCCAGTACTAACACAGCGCTTTCCAAAAGGCAGATGCTGAATTAATATTTGGGAATAAATGAGCCAGTGTACCTGGGGTATAATTTATTATTTACTTTTCACCTATTCTTAAATAATCCAAGCAAATGCCTGTATATGTCATTTAATTTTACAGAACAGCAGATTGGGAGGGTTAAGAGAGGCTAAGAATTGGCCATCTTTTGGTATCTTTTGACCATCTTGAGGGTTTTTTTTCTTGATCCCAACTATTTAACTGCTGAATTCTTTGACACTTCCAAAGAAAGGCCTATTCGAATATCATTGACCTTTTCTAGATGACAAAATAAGATGGTCCGTTTTGTTTTACAAACAAGCAAAACTTGTATTCTTAAATTTCATAAGTAGTAGTAAACATATGACCAGTGTCATTCATAAACTTAAGATTCTAAAGCTAATAAAACGGTGTTTTAAAGGGCACAACATTTGAAACCAAACTCCCCTCCCCCCACCCATGAAGAAGATAAACCACCCCGTGAACCATATAGAAGAGGGACACAGAGATGTTATGTGTGGTGTTCCCTACAGCCACACCCCAGCACTCCACTACGTAGAAGGTTGACTGCTAATTTTAATGACAAAGTGAGGAATCTGCCTCCCACCCCACTAGGGCTGGGAGGGCTGGGAGGGGATGCCAGATCCTGCACCGGAATGGGTGCTGCCCATGGCACTAGCGCCCTCCTTGGCTGCTGGTCTGGCTCGGGCTCTCTCTGCTTGATCTCTCAAAGCGTCCTCATACTGGGATGGGAAGCACCTGGGGTCGGACTCATGGATCTTCGTCAAAAATTCCAGCATTTTCATCTTGCTGGCTTCAGCGTGGGCTCTGGGGCCCCACAGGAACTCGTAGCGTGGAGGATCACTGTTGGCCACCTGGCGGTACTCCACGTACTCTTCTTGCACCAAATCTTGGGTGATGAACTTCCTGGGCTCCCTAAAGATGAAGTGCTTCCTCCCAGCATATAAGTCCGTCATATTCAGCACTTCCCAGATCTCCTCCTCAGTGGCACAATTGCCCTTCATGAAGATCATGCCCAGGACAATTATCAGGAGGCTGGTCTTGGGCATGCTGTCCTCATGACCAAGCCTAGCGTCATAAGTGAGGCCCAGTTTGTTGAAAAGGACATAACTGTGGCTGGTGGGGTCCACCTCATTCATATCAACACCAAAGACCAGCTCCATGCGCTTGAAGACTTTCCTGAGGATCTCAGGGAAGTCATCATTGCACTCTTGGATAACATCAATCATATCTGCCCTTGTGATGGGCTCTTTCATTTGATACTTATGCAGCAGGAACTGCACCAGCATCATCACCTTCTCACCTGCAGGGTCTATGGGGAAGTTCTCGATGTCAGACAGGGACTTTGATGAAGAAGTTGAACTATCTTCCTTTTCTTGGCTGCTGGAGCCCTCATCTGATTTGCTTGGTGAGATGGCCGTGATGACAGTATAAGATGAGTAGGCACTCTGAGGACCCAGGGGAGTGGTGGATGTTCCAGCAGCCAGAGCTTCCTCCATGTTGCCAGGCATCAGAGGACAAATGGAAGGAGAGGCCTCCTCCACAGCCTTGGAGACCTGTGTAGCTTCCAGGCCTTGGATCTCACTGGGGGCACAGTGTTGTTCCTGCGTGCAGCTTGGGATCTCCTGATCCTGAGACATGCTCACTTCTGTTAGTGGTAGCAGGCAGAAGGGTGGATGATAGGGGACCACAACCTAGGGAGAAAGGGAGGATGTGAGCGGCCTCATCTGGTAAACTCAACTGTGGCAGCTCTAATGAAGAGTGTCTCCACCCATCTTTTCCTGAGAACAGTGCTCTAGAGCCTCACAGGTCTCCTTTCCTGACCTGCAAGAAGCTGGAGGAGGAAGTGAAAAGGCTCCTCAGGGTGCAGCCGGCTGACACAGCCAAGGCTTCCCACGGCTGACAACAGGGTAGGTAGGGTTCGGCTCTGTGGGATCCTTTCTGTTTTCGAGTGAGTGGCCCCCTCTGTCTTTGTTCAAAGTCCTCATTGTGACCCCAGGGAGTATCTGGGACTCCGCCCTGTACACACCCAAGGATTATCACCTCAGAAAGAGACCTTCATCTCCTTGAGTCTCTTGAGTTAAAAAGCAAGGGCTTGCCTCTGACTGACAACACTTCTCAGAGCCTCTCAGCTCTGAGAGACAAACACCAAGGGAAAGGAAGTAGGGGGGTGCCTCATTATCAGGTCACACCCTCCTGGGCCTCCCAGAGGTGACAAAGGAAGGGAGCCATCTGTTGGGGGCTCTGTTGTTCTGGCATGTGTGGTCCCCTCCAGCCTCACTTGAGGTTCTAACTTTGACCTTGACAGAGATGAAGATAACTTCTGTCTGCTCATTTGAGACAACAGTCCTCAAACTCCCAAAGTCAGAAGGCAACAAAGTCTGTCATCTCTTCCAGGGCCTACCCAGTCTGACAACAGGAATAGGGCTCTGTAGAGCTCCCGCTATTCTGGAGTGTGTGATTCCCTCCAGTCTCTACTCAGCATCTTACTTGGATTCCTGGCAGAGCCTGGGATTCCTTTTTCTGCTCACTTGAGGCTGGACCTCTTAAGGCCTTTGCCATCCTCACACTCGCCAGGCAAAAATCAGGGGAAGTCACTCCTGGCCACCCCCTCCTCCTCCCAGGGCTGACACCAGTTCTGAGGGGCCTTCTCCATTCTAGTGGAGAGGTCTCCTCATTCCTCACTCAGTATCTGACCTTGACCCTTGGGAGGGTGTGAGACTCCTCCCTCTGATCACCTGATGCCGCCTTCCTCGGATCGGGCCTTACCTTCCTACAAACCGAAAGTAGAAGTCAGGGGGCAACCCAGTCTGATGGCTGTTTCAGAGCCTCCCAGAGCTCACAGCCGGGACTGGGCTCATATGTAGAGGATCCCTCTATTGTGAGGTGGTGGGCTGGTCACATCCGCCTCAGCTCAGAGTCTTACGCTGAGAGTGGGCAGGCCTGCCATTTCTCCCTGGCTGAACTGAGACCTCTCTCAGAACAAAGTACTTCCCGCCCTCAGATTCGCCAGCCAGTCAGTGGATGCCAGTTCCAGCTACCCCTGCCCAACACCTTCCAGGGGTGACGATAGGGGTTGGGATCTGTATAGTCCCTTCCAGTGTGGAGTGGATGTTCCCTCAATCTTCACTGAGCATCTTCCCTTGACTGTGGTAGAGGCTGGGACCCCCCTCGGCCGACTGGAAGCTGCACTTAGACTCCAGAGGAAAAGTGAAGGGAAAGCACTGCCAGGCGTGCCCTCCCCCCACCCCCAGCTCCACCTTGATCCACCCAGGGCTGACAGTAGAGCTCTAAGGGGCCCCTCAGTCCTCATGCAGTCCTCCCTCTGTTGACATGGCTGCCACTGCCCCCCCCCACCCAAGACTGCGGCCCTCACCACCCTCGGATTCTTGAGGCTCCAATCAGTGGGTGCCTCAGTCTGACCATTATTTCAGGGGTTTTCTGGGATGAGAAAAGAGGGCTTTATTCAATGGGCCAGCCCCTTTTTATTCTGGTGTCGTTGGCTCCCTGAATGATATCATTCAATATCCTCACTTGACCAGTCGTAGGTTTGTCCTTCTGTGGATAGAGGCCACGCCTTCCAGTACCGGCCTTCGCCGACCAAACTTTCAAAGTGGAAGTTAGGGGACGTTCCTTCCGCTTCTCCCTGTCCGCTCCCCCGTCCCGTGTCCGGGTCCTCCTAGAGCTGAGAGCAGGAGTAAGGTTCTATGGGGCTCCTTGTGTACCGGGGTAGTTAACCTCATTCAGGGTTGGCACCTGGAGTCCCTTCAGGGCCAGGGAGTCCTCCCTCCTCTGAATTGAGGTTATGCCCTATACGCCAAGATCCTCACCACTGTCAGACTCCCAAGAGGCTGGAGTCAGAGAGAGCCTCTGATAGTTATCTTGGAGCTTCCCATTGCCAACAGTCATGGAGGAACCCTTAGAGCTTCTTCCATTCTGGAGTCAGGGGTGCCCTCAGCCTGGGACGCCTCCCTCTGCTAACCTGAGACCACACCCCCTTAACTGAAGGCCCTCACTGCTTTTAGAATACTGAGGCCAAAATCAAGGGACGCCACTTCCGGCCGCCTCTGCGGGTCGTCTCCCAGGGTTGAGAGCAGGGGCGGAGCTTTATGGGGTCCTCCTCTTTCGCTGCAAGTGCTTCCTTTAGCCCTCACTTGAGGTCCGTACCTTGGCTCCAGTCTTTTCGATTAATTACTTCCTAAGCAATGCCACCTTCTTGCCATTCTCCATATTTGCCCCACTGTGATTCTCCTAGAGAATGAGTCCAAGTTCCAGGCTAGACAGTAGGTGGTGAAGCTGCAGCACAGCACATAAAAAACACACGGCTTCCCATGGGGTCCCATCTCCAGCCAATTGGGAGACTTCTTTTCTAAAAGATTTACGTTCTATGGGGAAGAGCCTTGTATAGACATATACGGAGCATAGGGAGGTGTTGAAGTGTTTTGCAAATGATTTGTTATTGATCAGCGTTGTGTTCAGTGACTGTGTTCTCACGGCAAACATTTCAAACAATACAGTCAAAACAGAATTCTCCCTTGCCTTTTCAATCCTGCCACCTGCACCACCATATAACCTTATTATGAATAAATTTTGTATGGATATAATTGTGCATTTGATTTATATCAATCAAGCTTATGTAAATTATATAAATGTAATAATAAAGTACATACTGTTTTGCTATTTGCTTTTTCATTCAATTGATAATCCATCTTAAGGAGTGTCCCAAATCAATCATCAGAGGGGCCTTAAAACTTGGAAAACCAGGTAATATTATTTTCTTATTATTTGAAAATTGAAGATGTCCTTGATGGCATTCTATATAGTGTCTGTTTTTCTAGACTTTACAAGCAGTCTATATATAGATCTGCCATTTCTTTCTTTTACTTAAAAAGCAAAATAGACGGCTACCTCTATAATTAAAACTCTCGTGCATATTTGTCTTCATATACTTTTTTAAAAAAATTTTTTATTGTTATGTTAATCACCATACATTCCATCATTAGTTTTTGATGTAGTATTCCATGATTCATTGTTTGTGCATAACACCCAGTGCTCCATGCAGAACGTGCCCTCTTTAATCCCCATCACCAGGCTAACCCATCCCCCCAGCCCCCTCCCCTCTAGAACCCTCAGTTTGTTTTTCAGAGTCCATCGTCTCTCATGGTTCGTCTCCCCCTCCGACTTACTCCCCTTCATTCTTCCCCTCCTGCTATCTTCTTCTTCTTTTTTTTCTTAACATATATCGTATTATTTGTTTCACAAGTACAGATCTGTGATTCAACAGTCTTGTACAATTCACAGGGATCACCATAGCACATACCCTCCCCAATGTCTATCACCCAGCCACCCCATCCCTCCCACCCCCCACCACTCCAGCATCCCTCACTTTGTTTCCTGAGATTAAGAATTCCTCATATCAGTGAGGTCATATGATACATGTCTTTCTCTGATTGACTTATTTCACTCAGCATAACACCCTCCAGTTCCATCCACGTCGTTGCAAATGGCAAGATCTCATTCCTTTTGATGGCTGCATAATATTCCATTGTGTATATATACCACTTCTTCTTTATCCATTCCTCTGTCGATGGACATCTTCGCTCTTTCCACAGTTTGGCTATTGTGGACATTGCTGCTATAAACATCGGGGTGCACGTACCCCTTCGGATCCCTACATTTGTATCTTTGGGGTAAATACCCAGTAGTGCAATTGCTGGATCGTGGGGTAGCTCTATTTTCAACTGTTTGAGGAACCTCCATACTGTTTTCCAGAGTGGTTGCACCAGCTTGCATTCCCACCAAGAGTGTAGGAGGGTTCCCCTTTCTCCACATCCCCACCAACATCTGTCGTTTCCTGACATGTTAATTTTAGCCATTCTGACTGGCGTGAGGTGGTATCTCATTGAGGTTTTGATTTGGATTTCCCTGATGCCGAGCGATGTTGAGCACTTTTTCATGTGCTTCTTGGCCATTTGGATGTCTTCTTTGGAAAAATGTCTGTTCATGTCTTCTGCCGATTTCTTGATTGGATTATTTGTTCTTTGGGTGTTGAGTTTGATAAGTTCTTTATAGATTTTGGATACTAGCCCTTTATCTGAGATGTCATTTGCAAATATTTTCTCCCATTCTGTCGGCTGTCTTTTGGTTTTGTGGACTGTTTCTTTTGCTGTGCAAAAGCTTTTTATCTTGATGAAATCCCAGTAGTTCATTTTTGCCCTTGCTTCCCTTGCCTTTGGCGATGTTTCTAGGAAGAAGTTGTTGCGGCTGAGGTCGAAGAGGTTGCTACCTGTGTTCTCCTTTAGGATTTTGATGGACTCCTGTCTCATGTTTAGGTCTTTCAACCATTTGGAGTCTATTTTTGTGTGTGGTGTAAGGAAATGGTCCAGTTTCATTCTTCTGCGTGTGGCTGTCCAATTTTCCCAACACCATTTGTTGAAGAGACTGTCTTTTTTTCCATTGGGCATTCCTTCCTGCTTTGTCAAAGATGAGTTGACCATAGAGTTGAGGGTCCATTTCTGGGCTCTCGATTCTGTTCCATTGATCAATGTGTCTGTTTTTGTGCCAGCACCATACTGTCTTGATGATGACAGCTTTGTAATAGAGCTGGAAGTCCGGAATTGTGATGCCGCCAGCTTTGCTTTTCTTTTTCAATATTCCTCTGGCTATTCGGGGTCTCTTCCTGTTCCATACAAATTTTAGGATTATTTGTTCCATTTCTTTGAAAAAAGTGGATGGTATTTTGATGGGGATTACAATGAATGTGTAGATTGCTCTAGGTAGCATTGACATCTTCACAATGTTTGTTCTTCCAATCCATGAGCATGGAACGTTTTTCCATTTCTTTGTGTCTTCTTCCATTTCTTTCATGAGTATTTTGTAGTTTCCTGAGTACAGATCCTTTGCCTCTTTGGTTAAATTTATTCCTAGGTATCTTATGGTTTTGGGTGCAATTGTAAATGGGATCGACTCCTTCATTTGTCTCTCTTCTGTCTTGTTGTTGGTGTATAGGAATGCCACTGATTTCTGTGCATTGATTTTATAGCCTGCTACTTGACTGAATTCCTGTATGAGTTCTAGCAGTTTTGGGGTGGAGTCTTTTGGGTTTTCCACATA